TGTCATTGTTTTGCACCTTGGCAGAGAGACTGAGAGAGGCTGAGTGGTATTTAGTGGACTTAATGTGAACTTTCAAAGCGCTACGTCCACAGAGATCAATCACATGATGTGTTTGAGAAGGATTACAACAACACATTTTGTCAAAAATGAGCTAAATGTGTCAAACTCTGCAAGGCTCTCAACTCAAAGCCCCAAAGTCCTTTTAGGATTTTCTGTGATTTTTACCTCATTGGTACTTTGGGGTATGCAGGAGTCCATTTGCAGTCTTTTTCTTTCTCTGTCTAATATGTCTTCTTTCTCTTCTCTTTCTCCATCCACTCTCCATGACTGAAACATAACTTTGAGAACAAAAAATCCTTCCTGAGGCAATGTTGATCTCTTCTATCCGTTATCTAGACTTCGCCCATTTCTCAATATCCTTTGTCCGTCTGCACCTGTTTTTATAGATCATTCTGTCGCCCAGTACTTTCAAGCTTCCCTGTCTATGGCTCTCAACCTCAGCCCCATTCAGTCCTACTGAAGATCTTCATTTTTAAGGTTTGGTCACAGAAACTATAAAGTTGTAGGTTTACCAAAGGCTAAGTCGTTTCCAAAAAAGCTTGGCACTGCAGTTTTTAGCAGCCATTACTCAAACAGGGGTAAATAATGCATTTGTTGAGGACTATTTTTAGCCATGGATTGATACACATTTGGTGTGCTTAGCGACTACTGTAATCGACTCAAAGTAAAGGTTAATGCTAGAATGGATGGTCCAGAGGAACAAGTGAGGGACTGTCAGAAACTACGCTGTTGTGATTGGTTGTTTTGCTGCGAGGGAATCGATGACGTAAGATGTCTGCGTGAGGCAGTGTGAGAGTGCTGATTCTGACAGCCACAAAACTTTTTCTGCCATCATCGCATCTCAGCAATATGCATTTCGTCCAAAGCTTCACATCCAGGGGTATGTGGAAACTGGAGGAAAGCCGACAGAGGGCCCTCGGCTGTGGGCACGGACCCACTGACCTCCCGCCAGTTCTCTGGCAGTGGAGCAGAGCACAGCCTGGGTTTGTGGAGCTTGCTGGAGGCTGCTTAGGGGCCGTTGGATCGAGCCAGGCGGCTGAGAGTCAAGCCAGGTCCTGCTGAGCATGCTGGAGGCTTTACAGGGGCTGGAGAGGCAGTCATAGCGGGTGAGAGGAAAGCCAGGGCCTGCAGAGCATGTTGGAGAACCTGAGGTAGAGGTCTGTGCCCTTGGCTGAGTGCCTGCTGTCGGTTGCTCTCCGGTGTCCATGCACCCCTGGATGTGGAGCTTACAACATACGCTGCGGGGTCTTCTCTCACCGGCCATGACTGCCTCTCTGGCCTCGGTAAATCCTCCAGATTTTCAGAAACAAAACATATATGACAAGTTGATAAATATGATTTTTTTTGTTATCAATTAAACCAACCAGGCCCTGGCTTTCCTCTCACCCACCATAACTGCCTCTCCGGCCCTGCCTGGCTCTATCCCACAGCCCCTAAGAAGCCTCCAAGCCCCACTGATCCAAGCTGTGCTCTGCTTCTCCGCCAGAGAACCAGAGGGAGGGTGGGAGCTCAGCGGGGTCCTTGCCCACGGCTGTTGGCCCTCTGTCGGCTTTCCTACAGCATCTACATACCCCTGGATGTGAAGCCGTGGACTTTGTCACTTTTTCCTGGAGATTTTGTGCCCCGCTCTCCGAACGTTTGTTTGCTGTCATGGGATGAATGTTTCCGCTCTAGCCACTAGTCACAGCACAGTAGGGCTGGACAAGTCCCTCTGGGCTATCCATTCTATCGCCAACCCAAAATAAACTATAGTGGCTTTCCTCATTGTATGAAGGAACATGTCATCCAGTGCAAATATGTTGCTCATTACTGTGTCTGTATAGGTTTTGTACAACAATGAAGCTCTATATCAGACTTTGGCTACACAGGCGCACTTGCATAACACTGTTTTGGTCTTTTCACTGGCATTTTCACAATAAGAAAAAAAATAAATTGCTTGTCATGTCCTTCAGTGATGCATAGTCCCCAATATTTGGAAAGTGTCTCATGGGGTGACTGCAGTGACCTTAGACACTATGATACAATTTCCCGTCGAACTATCATTGTAACCGTAGAGAGGATGCTCTTCTAAATGGCCGTGCAAGCTCATCCAACCTTCCTTGTTTAAATAAAGGTTAAATAAAGGTTAAATAAATAAATAACAACAGTGTAGTCCCAGTCTCCTCCTGCCTTTTCCCCTCGGGCAGGTGTCGTCAGGCTTGTTAACATCTGTCTTGTTCTGCTGTCCTCTCTGCTGGTGACTTCTGTTACCACTCTACCAATTTGGGCCCTAAAGCCAGGTGTGCGTGAGTGAGACAGAGAAAGAGAGAGACAACAGATAGAAAGTGCGCAGTGAACCTGTCTGTCCTGGACTGAACAAATGACCAAGGACAACAGCTGGACAGTGTGATTCACCTTCCTTCCATTTATTACCTAGAAATTTCAGGAGTGCGAGAGCACTAAATGGAAGTGTTTACTTTCTGTTAATCTTATCGCGCCTGAAATTTAAATTGATTTTTACATAAACTGGGAAAGGTCAGGTAGTTTCATGATGTCATTACTTCTTAGGTGTCACGCTAACAAAACAACTTCATATCCGTAGTGCCTTAGGCTTCGGAGCAGCCGATTGAATTGAAGGAAACAAACACAACAGCAGCCAGCAGTCAGCTCTCTCGGAAGCAATAAACTCCTAATCATTGAGGAATAAAAAATAACCTGTGCCTGATGGAAACAGAAGCATGTGTGTGTATGTGTGTGTAAGCTGTAATGAGTACTATATGTGTGTAACTCCAGCGGGCATCGAACCACACACTGAGTTGGAGCAACACCCACTTTGGCCAGCTGAATGAAAACAATATCAAACCCTCATATGTCACCGGGTGGTCCAGGAATGATGAAACGTGATGAAACAACACTGCTGGCTGCCCGCTGCCATTTTGCTCTGCGATTGGTACTTTTTATTATTTCCCCTTGGATATTGATTTTCTTTCCCCTCTGTTGAACTCGTGGGGCCAGCAAGCAAGCCTCTGCCTCTTCCTGCTGCTCCCTGTCAACACTATTTCACAGAGGATGCACCCGTACGCACCTACATTCACACACACACACATAAAAAATGCTGTATGTAGGTGAACATATAAGGGGCGCATGCAAACACACATCTAGTTGCACACCAGGTCAATACCCTCCTTGGAGGAATTAATGAGAGAATCAATGGCGCCCTACAATGAACAGGAGGAGTTCCCACAAAGCTTTGAATAGGCCCACATGCACACATGCAGCTGAAACACAGCAAATCACGAGTCAAAGCGTCAGCAGTAACTGATTCTCATTTGAAATTTAGCAAAAAACATGCTTTATTTAGAGTCCCCATGGAATGAGAAATTAATTTTCCCAGTTTTAATCCTGTGTCTCTGTGTTAATTGATCGTTTATCTCTTGTTACATGCCAAATACGTGTCAGAAAATCAGTACCAGAGTATTTTTTTTAATTAAAACCCCATTTGTCAAACCAGGTAAAACACTTTCAAATGTATGATGACTCATCCTGCACTTAGGGGCCTTTACAAAAGTTCATCCAATCAAATGAGACGTTGGGAGACTAGCTAGCCAGACTGTTCACATAAAACCGCATTTAACAATTTGAGGGTTGGAGTAGCTAAGAGAGCAATGTGACAATAGATCGGAGGAGGTGTGTGTTTGGAGGTCAGTGAACACGTTCGTTTTAATTTCCAGTAACAGTGTGCTGGAGGTCGAATTCATTCATCTCTCCCTCATCTTCCTCCTGATCTAACAGTGTGTGTGATCGTGCTAAACTCTAAGAGCTAAAGGCGCGCTAACTTCTTTTTCACATTGACTTTAAAGTTGCATTTCTTTGCAGACAAAGAGTGTGTTTTAAAATTCAAGCCACATTCTTGATGGTTTAACACTCTGACTTTTGTTTTTTTTTAGTGTGATTACACTGCTAGTAAAACTTATCCTCTAGAGTTCCAACTCATACGTTGTCTCCACTTTTTATGCCCTTCCTTGAGTCGGGCTTTGACAGCCGTCTCCCTCGACCTTGAGGACAATCACCCTGAAATAATGACACGACGCTGAAGCCTTGGGTGGCCCCGCTGAGCTGCGCCCTGCTGCTGCTCAGCATGATGTCACACCGTGTCCTTGTTTGTTGTTCTTTTATATGTGCTCTTGTTTTGGATATGAGCGTCTCTATGTTCAGGTGTCAGCATTGGGTGTGAAGGAGGAGCATACGATATGGATTTTGTACAAAACAAATGCTGGATTGGGCTTTTCAGGTGTCGGCAATTGGTGCTACAAGAAAAACAACATCTGATATAGTAAATGTGTGTGTGTGTGTTTGTGTACACATGTGGAGGCATTTGCATGAGCCTAAGGAAGGTGTTTATATTTGTATTCTCAACCCGAGGGTTGGAAAATGACCTGTCTCCTGTGATTATATCCTGGGTAACCAGAAGTGACGTGGTAATTGTGAAATCTATTTAAAAGAATTGTAGCTTCTCTCTCTTGCTTTATTTCTCTCGCTGTTCCTCACTCTGTTTTCAAGTCATTACTAGATCTTCCTCTTCACACCTCCTTGTCACCATCTTATCCTACGGCTCTGTTCTCGCTCTGCTCATGGTCTATTTTCTCTGATTTTTTTCTTCTTGTTTGCTCACTCCTCCCTCCTTCCTTACCCCTCATGGCCTCACGTTTCTTGTTCCCTGTTCATGTGCCACACTTTTTTTCCCTCTTCTCTCTCTCCGACTAAGTGTGTTTATACAAAAACCCAGCATCAGATCGATCCTGTGATGTCGCTAAGATCAATAACACCGGGAGTGTCACAGTTTGGCCTGCAAAACAGTGACAGACGATTTCTGCTCACCTTATACTTTCCACATGTTGACATTCAGTTTTCTCCTCTCACTCAATCCCCTTTTCTCTCTCCATCTCTGCTTTCACACACAGTGGCGTCCCTTCCTCCCCGGTCTGAAATATGAAGTGATAGACTCGGCCTACATCTCCCTGTACACAGGTAAGAGCTATTCTGCCCTGCTGATGCATTGCATGGAAAGCTTTTCTGTCATCTTGTCTTAGAAATAAAATAAATTTCATGATGAATTTTATGTGTAGAAGTTTTCCGATGCTTATGGCTAAGAAACACATGGGTCTTTAAAATGATGGGAAAAATATTGCTTTCTCTTTTCCGTTTCTAGTCTTTTCGTTTAGCTGAGAGCTTGTCGAACAGGAATAGGAAATAAAAACAACTTCATTAGTCTAGTCTGGTATCGATCAGGAGTTTAATGTCACAGAATCAGCCTTTTTTTGAACCAAGATATGCTTCTCTCTTGTCTCTCAAACAAACCCACATTTATTGTTTTGGTTTCAGTGAGGGCTTAAAATCAATATTCTCTCTTATCTTGTATTAAGTTTCTCCTCATAGAGAAGCTGCAGATTGTCGCATTGAGAGCATGGCATGTCCTCTCTGTGTGGGGCCAAAGAGAGGCTACAGAACCTAATAGATGCTCTATTTTTCTCTATGGGTGTCACTGGTAGCAGAGATGAGAGCAGTAGCTCCGGAGTAGATGTCTAGCCTCTATAGTTCCAAGAATAGCAGTGTGTCACAGGGATGCGGTATCGTTAACAAGGGAAAATGCCAGCTGCACAGAGGAGTTGTCATTTTAGGCAAAGCTGCAGGTTGCTAGGGATGTATGCCGCCTTGTTGATGACCGGCAGGGAAGAAGGAGGCCTTGTGCAGTATATGAGATCACCTGCTGGATTCAAACATTACCATCTCCTCATCTGTCTCCCTCCCAGCCATCCATCCATACCTACTCCTCCCTTTATGTCATGCTCTCTATCCTGCTGGGTTTCTCCATTTTCTCACAGTGGAAAGTGTTTGACATTCATTCCCATTTCACAGAGACATCGTAAGCTTTCCCAGTGATACTTGTCCTCTGTGTTTTTCAGTTTCATTAGGTCTCTGATTGGCTTTCAATTAGCATCATTGTGCATTCTGCGGTTGAAGCGGTAAGGGTATCATTTTTTAGTTCATGCCCAAACTATGAGCCTCATTCTCGTCACTTCAACAACTTGTCTTTCACCGAGTTGCTACCAGTTGCTAAGAGATGGGTGGCTCACATTCAGTCAGATTGTTCAAATATTGTACATCCATGAATAATTTGACACGAGAGAGCCCCAAAAGTGATCCTGAACTAACTTTTTCAGCTCATACCCACTCTCTGAAAAACTAGGAATAATTGTGCCAAACAGATGGAGTGCATTTGTTTGACTGTCTGTGTAAGCACTTAAACTTATCTCGCAAACTTTTAAGTGATTATCGAACATATCCAGAATGTTGTATCTCATCTGGATGGTTTTCTCAACATCCATCTTTGTGGTCATAATAATCCTGCTGACCCAAAACAGTGTAACTCTATGTTATTGAATTTTGTACAAATTAAAAGGTCATTTATGTCCGCATTATTGTTTATAATACATAACAGTTTAATTTGCAAGGCAGTTCAATACAGCTCCATAACAACTTCTCATGGGTTCAAGCCAAATGCATCACTTTAGTGGTGTGATAATACTTTTTCGCCTCAAAATCAGCGAAAATGCACATAAAAGCGCAACGCAGATGGTAGCTGTTAATGGATTTACACCATCACACATGCATACAAATTTACTACAGAGACCAGGAAATTCAGATAAGCACAAAACTATAAATGGTTCCATTATTTGTGTGGTAGTACCACGTGGAAAAGGTCTCAATACCTGTGCCATTTATATTACAACAAAACTACATCTGTGCAATATGACAGAAGCGAATCAAAAGGAGGCGAAGAGTTCTGTTGTTTACTTCATTTGCGTGCTTGTTTCGAGGGTGTCTGTAACATAGATAATTAGTTAGTCTTGGCAAGGCTTGTGTACAGTGTAAACCAGGTATGTGATCAACAGATGTCTTATTGTTAGAAGAAAGGAAGTCTGAAAAGAAGCTTTCTCTGTGTAGCCTGTGCACACGGAAAGACACGCACACACACCGAATGTGCACACTCCACCCTCTGGAGGATAAAAATGATGCTGACCACCCTGTTAATTATAAAGTATTTCTCCCATCAGGCCTTGCTCCTGACATGCCATTAATCACAGATGCTCTCTCCTCCTCCCCTGCTATCGATTGGTATAATTATGACTCTGCTCTGCTCTGTATTTGTTTTCTTCCAACTTGTTTCTGATCCTCTCACTTCAGCTTTTGTTTGTGGTCTGTCCTCCTCTTCCTCTTCTTCCTTTTGTTTCCTTTCTCCCCGCTGCTCTTTCTGTCGTCTTTGTCCCCATTCTCCACCTCCTCGTGATGGGTAAAGATTTATGAGTGTGACACAAATAACGGGCATGATATTGTCTTTTATTAAGATACTGGCCTCACTCCTTCTTCTGCACCACCTCTGCTGCCTGTGTGTATTTTTCAGACGAGTCCAATCTGAAGATGAACAGCGTGGACCACATCCCCCAGACCTTGGCCAGTCACATCCGTCTCCCAGAGGAGGCTCAGCCCCAGGGTCTGGAGGGAGGCAGCGTCATGCAGCACGGAGCGGATATGCTGAAGCCAGACCCCAGGGACACCTTCTACAGCAGTAAATCTGCCAGTCATCGTTTCAGGCTGCCCGCTATTTTTCTGTCCTCATGCTGATTTTCTTGCCTGTCATTTTCTCTAACTGACTGATGATGACAGTCTGAATGCAGCTGAACTGACAGCCAGCGAGACTGTGAGCCAGTCAGTCATTTCATCTGGTTGGCTGTATTCCATTTTTTGTTTGCTTTGCCTCCTTGTTTTGTCTTTGCCTTGATCATCTCGCAGCTGTCTGCCTCTGAAGTCTGTTGAAACTAGAATTCCATATACATATTTGTTTATGCCTGATGTCTAATATTCACCTCCCCTTCTTTCTTCTCTCTCCTCAGCTCCGATGATCGACCCCTCCCGACTGGAAAATGTTCTTCCGGCCTGTCTCTACTCTCCAACCTATGTAGTCAAAGATTTTCCTATCGCCAGATACCAGGGCCTGCAATTTGTAAGTCATCTTTCCATCACTTTTCCTCTAGATTGCGAAAAGACCTGCCACTAGGGTCATAAGAAATGCATCTAATTATGGCAGTAATCTGTTAATCTGCTGAAAAAGTATCTCCATAGCGTAATATTTAGCTCAGCTGAGAACAGAAGGGCAGAGAAGCTAAGTCCATGCTGGCTTGGAAATTACATCTCTCCCTTTGTATCAAAACATATAAAGGAAGCTGGTAGTGTTGAGCGCTGCTTCCCCCTTTAGGACAACAGGAGTTACTGCAGCAGCTGCAGAGATAAGTGATAAGCTGAAAAAGAGAGCCAAGAAAACGCAGCAGATCTATTTTAGATTTGACAGAAGTCACCCCCAACAAAATAAGGCATTATGTAGAGTAAGTGATTGAATGCTGGTGTTAATCTAATCCTGACAGTGTGCCGCTTAATGAGAATGAACTCCTTGTATCAGTGTGTTCTGGGGTCATTGCATTTTTGATTGACATTTGACTTTCCATTAGGTCTATCTGTCCTTCGTTTACCCCAATGACTTCACTCGTCTCACCCACATGGAGCGAGAGAACAAGTGTTTCTACAGAGAGTCCCCTATCTACTTGGAGAAGTAAGGACATTATTGCTTTTATCTCTCAGAGAGCAAAGGGAACATTTGTCTCTGTCTTGCATATATGAGCGAGTACACTGATTATGCAGAATGACTGCTCAAGTGTCTGTGAGTTGGATGGCAGTGATTCATGCGACCTCTCACCAAGAGATTAAGTTTATTATGCTGCAAGGCACGTTGAAACTTCAACCTTCTTTTAATGCGTGTGGCTGTGTGTTAATATGTGTGTGTGTGTGTGTGTGTGTGTGTCGCCTCCTCTTGCGTCTGCCAGGTTTGGTTTCTACAAATATATGAAGATGGATGAGGAGGAAGATGACAGACCGTTCTTCTTCCCTAACCCAGATGGTAACTAATAATGAATCGAGGCACACTCATGCATGCAGTCACATGTATATACACACACATGTGCACACCATTTCAACTTTGTGTCCTTCATGTCTCCAGATTTCCTAGAGGAAGAGGAGGTGGTGGATGTAGAGGACGAGGCAGAGATTGTTGGCACACAGTCCCCCAAAAAGCCTTCTCATCCCAGCCAGACCAGCCACACCTCCAATCCCTCCCATCAGCACTCAAAGCCTGCTCCAACACCAGCTGGCAGAGAAGGGGAAGAAGAGGAGGAGGACCCTGATGAGGAGGAGGAGGGAGCAGTCAACAGTATCATACGCCACAGAGAAAGGAGACACTTTCCTCGCAGAGATGGACAGATGGGTAGGGATTTGGACAGAGACTGGGGAAGAGATCATACAAACATGAGACAAAATGCCAGGAAGGGACTTGAAGAGCCCCAACCCAGGGTGCTTCAGCCTGACATGGACAGCGTGGTCCGGGGTCGCTCCTTGTCTTGGATCCGTACAGGTCCAGCAGAGTTGAGCCCTGGCAGGAAAGGAGGGGCAGCAGGTGGTGGAGGAGGAGGAGGAGGAGGAGAGAAGGGAGTTGAAACTCCTCCTAAACTGAGCAAGTCTTCACTCCTTTTCCCCCAGAAGTCCTCCCTCTCTGCCCTTGCCAGCCGAGCCAAGCAGATCCTCAGCAATTCCGCCCATAGCAACAACTTCCACGATAACAACAACAACAACAAGCTTGCTGGAAACAAGAAGGAGAAGAGGGAGGAGAACAAGATCTACATCACCAGGCCTCGACCTGCCAAGGAGCGAGAGAGGGACAGAGAGAGGGAGCGGGAGCAGCGTCGAGAGCGGAGGGAGGAGAGGGCTTCTCGCCATCCTCGAGAGGTGTTCCCGGGGGTCTTTCTGTACCAAACTGGAAAGACCACAAGGCTGGTAAACCTGGGTGCTAAAGGACATGCTGGGGGAAGCATAACAGGAGGAAGGAGTCTTGTTAGTGCCCCTCAGCTCTGGCCCAACCCCCCCACAAAAGAAGGTAAGACATCTCCTCAAAATGGAAGCATCAGCATACAGAATGAAAGTGTACAGAAGTCTGGCAGCAGGGCAGCAGGTGAGAACCATCCAGAGAAAAGCAAGAGGAAAGGGGAGCATTGGGATTTGAAGACTACTATCACTGCTGATGTACCCAGCAAAGGTGACCTGTTAACCCCACTTTCCCATCATCAAGATCCCCCTCCAGTTACCCAGCAAAGGTTAAACGCCACAGAAAACACACTCCAAGGTCAAACACGAGTCACCTCTTACCTCAGGACCTCTGAGATCACAGAGTCCCAGCAGCAGCCGGATCCGGACCCCAACCCGGCAGAGCTCGACCAGGATACAAACCGCTCTAATCCTGACGCCGACCCCGATCCCGAGCCAGAACCAGAGGAGGGCGAGATGTCGGACTACAGCTACGAGGAGGTCGAGGCTCGGCCAGGTTGGGCAGAGGAAAGCATCAATTGGCAGAGGACCTTCTCAGTCAACCCGATGGACTTTGAGCTGCTGCGCTCTGACTGGAATGACCTTCGCTGCAACGTGTCGGGTAACCTCCAGCTGGCAGAGAGTGAGGTGGTGGACGTGCTGGCACAGTACATGGAGAAACTCAACGAACGCAACGGAGGGTGAGATAAAAAGCGGGAGGGAGTAGGGATGGTGTGAGAGTAAAAGAGGGCTTATGTTTGCCTGCAACATTCTAAGTTCAAATGTGGTTTCTTTTGCTAATCATTATGTGAAGCAAGAAGTAATTTCACTGAGAACATATTGGTCATGCCCCGATGCTTTGACTTCATGTTAGGAGTCCTCTATGTGCTGATTAACATTTTCTGCAGCAGTGCTTAAAAACCTTGATTGTTATTTGTGTAAAGTAGCTTGGTCTGTTTTCATTTTCCTCCCAAATCACACCATGCCGACTTCACTCGCCGCTTCAGTAGCCACATTTTTTAAGTGGTCTGCTTACAGTCAAACAATAATTAATCCAGTTGTGAGAGTGATATGAGAAGTAGTGTTTTGTATTTCCATAGCCCCCCTTTCTTTTATATTATATTCCAGAGCGTGTACCCATCTGTGCTTTCTTGAGCTTTTTTTTCCTGCCTCTGCTTCAGGATCTACACCCTGCTGAGGATCGTCAACGTTGAGAAGCGGCGCGATTCAGCGAGAGGGAACCGTTACTTGGTGGAGCTGGAGCTAATGGAGAGAGGCCGCAGCGTGGTGCGTCTGTCAGAATACATTTACCTGCTGCTCCACCGCAGCAGGCAGGGAGAGGAAAGTCTAGAGAACACTGACTTTGCCCCGGCCTCTGCACCCGCTTCGGCTCCGTCTGCTGCCACGTCCAGCCTCATCACTCCGCCGCCCCCTCCCTCCACGAGGTCCCCCGCCCGGCCCGGAGCGACCCCCTGGAGCACTGCCTATGCTAAGCCTCTGCTCTGCCAGCCAGTCATGCTACAGTGGAGGAGAGATGTCATGGTGCACTTTGTGGTACCAGGTCAGTCAAAAGGGGGACCTAGATAACTTTCAAAACTGAAATAGTGGTACAAAAGCAACTGTCATATTAATGCTGCATTCACATGGAATCAGGGAGACAGCAGATGGCAAACTGGATATCGCTAGGCAAGACCAGTAGCAAATACAGGGCAATGTAGCGGTAGACAGCATAGCTTTCTAAAGTTAAAATATTTAGACTTTTTGCCGTCCTCTGTGACTGAATTAACAACAGATTTGACATAGCTTCTTCACACAAGACAAAAACACAGTCCATCTGGTCAACTACTGGTCATTACTAGGAAAATAACATAAAATAATAAACACAAAATGATTTTACTTAATATAATTTATTCCATTATTCTAAACAATATGGCATCAGCATTGCAACATATGGTCATGCATGTTTGTTGTCCTGCCATTCCGTCATACTGTATATTTGTTTTTCCCTTACTGTCCAGGTGTTGTTCTATTCTGTGCACACAACAAATATACATCATGAAAGGAAAAGGAGAATCGCTTCTTTCATATTTCTTGTTTTTTTTTGTTTTCCTAACTTGCTATCTACTCTTTTCTACCATTCTTACTTCCCTTCAGTGAAAAACCAGGCTCGCTGGGTACAGCAGTTTATCTCCGACATGGAGAATCTTCATCGCCAGACAAAGGATGACAATTTCAGCATCATCATTGTCGACTTTGAGAGCGAAGACATGGACGTGGAGCAGGCACTAAGAGAGAGCACTGTGCCAAGGTGTGTGTGTGCATCACAATCAGCCACCTAATATGAGTTTAAAGGTCCAGTGTGAACGATCTAGGGGGATTTATTGGCAGAAATGGAATATGATTTATTAAGCATATTTTCTTTAGTGTATAATCACCTGAAAATAAGAATCATTGTGTTTTTTGTTGCCCTAGAATGTTTCATTTATATTAATAAAGGGAGCAGGCCCTCGCCCACTGAGATTGCCATGTTAAACCACCATGTTTCTACAGTAACCCAGAACGGACAAACCAAACACTGTCTCTAGATAGGGCCATTCATGTTTTTGCATTTTTGTGTCAGCCACCATAGTAACAAGGCCTTCTGCAACGAGCAGCGTTGAAAAAACAACAACTTTTTAAACATGAAACTGCTTTATTCAGTGTTTTTACAGGTTTAAATCACCAGGTCAGTTTGTTTCAGAGAGGAAGAGACCTCTACGGATAGTTCAGCTCCCTGTAAAAACCTCTTGAAAGTCTGGGTCATAAGTTATCAGACAAAAATGAGGAGTACAAATTAGCAGGTGCTAGGCTAACGGCCTGTTTGTAACATGGCAAACAGCATCAGAGAAACACTGATTTGTTCCATGAAACCGCTTTATTCAGTGTTTTACCGGTTTAAATCATAGGTCCAGTTGTTTTGTTAGCATGGCTTCCGGTAAAAACCTCTTGAATGTCTGGATTTGAAATGCGGTGAGCACACATTGCAGGCGCTGGGCAAGCGAGGTCTGTGAGGTACCAAACAGCATAGAAGAAACACTGATTTGTAACATGAAACTGCTTTATTCAGTGTTTTTACCTGTTTTAGTCCCCTGATTCATTTGTTTTGGAGAGGAAGACACCTCCATGGACAGTTCGGCTCCTGGTAAAAAGCTTTTGAACAAGGAACACAAGGAGAAGTTTCAGCTGGTTGTAATCTGCAATAATCCTAACCAGTAGACGCTACTAAATATCCCTTAAATCTTACATACTGTTCCTTTAAATAAATGTTGAGATGATTTAGAATATTTTCAAGGCTTTCCAAGTGATGTGTGCGCATATTTTTGTTTGAACAGATATGAGTATCTAAGGAGAGAAGGCAACTTCGAGCGCTCAGCCGGACTGCAGATCGGAGTGGACACTATTGAGGTTAGAGAAACAAACATACACACAGAGGCAAGACAACAACGTGAGCTGGCAGGGAAAAAGCCACTCACTGAAGGTCAGCCACTCATACTGACCACATGACCTTTACTGATGGACAGACAGAAAGAACACTCATGCATAATGAATACATCACTGCCACGGCGGTCTGTCACGGGCTGCGAATCTCGCCCTTAACCTCCGAGCTTCCTCCTGCTTCCCTTCGCCCTCTCCCACAGAGCCTGGCTGTGGGTGACAGCGAATCGCTTAGACAGTTAGCTGCATTTCCTCTGTCATGTGTATGCCATAGCTGTCACATCCCTTCGCTTTCGCAGGTTATTTGTGTGCATGTGCCTTTAACGCCGCTCTCTGGCTGTCTCCCTGTCACACACGCGTGCACACCCACCCACAGGGGCGTGGAGCGGCTGGAAATTTGGACAGACGTTGATCTGCCAGTTGAGTGTCAGTGCTGTCACGGTGAGATGACGGGGCCGTCACTCATGTCTGAATGACCTGCAGGCTCTGGAAGTGAAGACAAGCCACTGATGCTGAGCCCAGACTTCTCCACTTTCTTTAATCCTAAAATCCTATATTAGGCGTTACGTGAACATCCAATTGCATGCTCACATTTGCACCAGCTCGTACACAGAGTCACAGATTCAGAGATGATTTCAGTGTAATGAATGTGTACGTGCATGTTTGTTTCCTCTTTCAGGATAGTCACAGCATTGTGTTCCTGTGTGATCTGCACATCCACTTCCCTCTCAACATCTTGGAAAGCATCAGGAAGCACTGCGTGGAGGGACGCCTCGCCTTCGCTCCCATTGTCATGAGACTCGGCTGCGGCAGTTCGCCACATGAGCCTGATGGTAACAAACAACAAAACACACAAGCATTACACGCTTGCAGGCACACGTCTGCGCTTGTACACACTCACGCATTAACATAGTTTAGTTTGACTCGTCACTCAAACTTATTCCCCAGTTCCAGACACTTACTTTGAATTCATAACAGAAAATTTCAATTTACATGCATAATAAAGGCTCTTGCATCAGGAGCACATACTGGTACTTTGTAGGCATCAGATCACAGTTGATGCAACGGTGTGCAATGGGACCAATAGTTCCTTTTAACTTTCTTTTTGTTCTTTCCGCAGGTTACTGGGAGGTGAACGGCTTCGGCCTGTTTGGAATATATAAGTCTGATTTTGATAAGATCGGAGGGATGAACACGGAGGAATTCAAAGACCGCTGGGGTGGAGAGGACTGGGAGCTGCTAGACAGGTAACCCAGCAACAAGCCGACACCATAGCTCCACAATGAATACTATTAAGAGGCTATATAGAGTTCTTGTTTATTTAGACTGTGTCACAAGATGTTGACTCAACTCTATTATGATGTTTAAAGTTGTAGTAAACTTTGCACACTTTTTCATGGTAGTACCAGAAGCTTATACAATCGTGCCCTCCTCCTGTGTATTATAATTCATCACTGTTAAGATACAATATTTATAGATGATACTTGGATTGTCAAACACTTATAAAGTGTATACAGTAAATGTACTCTTTTAAAGCAATAAAGGTGGATAGTGGGTACAACAGCAATAGGTGCTGTATGTGTCAGCCACAAGGTCTTAAAATATTCAGTGTAAGGTATTACCTACATTTACTAACATCAGGAAAGGTTGCTGCTATCGAAATGTGTTGCAATTATGAGCTGAATTTGGGTAAAGGAGAAGCCAGTTATCCCTTATAGACACGTTTTCTCACTTACCTCTTACCTCTTATGCTATGGAGCCATGCAGGTTATCTTGGTTGAATTCAGATTACTGCACTCATCCCCAAGATAACAGGGATGGATATAATTTCATTTTTGGTGCTGATAGCATTGATATTGACTTTTTTCAATGATTTAAATGTCTAGTGTGTATGATTTAGGGGTATCTATAAGCAGAAATGGTGAATAAGATTCATAACTATGTTTTTATAAGTGTATAATCACCTGAAAATAAGAATATTTGTGTTTTTGTTACCTTAGAATGAGCTGTTTATATCTAGATACGGAGCGGGTTCTCTTCCGTGTAGTCCGCCATGTTGTTCTACAGAGCAGACAAACTAGACACTGGCTCTAGATAGGGCCTTACACAGTTTTGCGTTGGCCCCTGTAGTTTTCCTAGCCTGCCACAAGTGACAAGTTTTAGTTTTGCAACTTCACCACTCGACGCCTCTAAATCCTACACATTGGACCTTTAAGCATTACAAACAAAATATTATTCATCTCAGTTGTGTTGGGGTGGGATCATAACCTCAGCAGATGAAACCTAAAACATGTTTAGACCCGACCCAGATGTAAGTTTCTTCAGTATTTTGAACATGATCTAATAACAGTTGTTAACCCTATTTTCTGCTGATGAAAAAAGCTTGTCACTTCCCTTGCAACCCACTACAATGAAAAGAACCCAGTTTTAACTTAGCATTTCTCCCTCCCATCACCTCTAGGGTACTGCAGAATGGTTTGGAGGTGGAGAGACTACGCTTGAGGAACTTCTTTCACTACTACCACTCCAAACGAGGCATGTGGAACGCCCAAAACAAGAAAACCCCAAAGGGGTAGCGCCCCCCCTGCTGGTCGGAGGATTTCTGAACCTACCTGCAGATCCACTGTGTGTGAGAGAGAGACCTGTGGGAGCTCGCTCACTGCCTGAACTCTGCCTTTTTTTGAAACGGGCTCCTCTCTGGGACGCCCCCGTTTCGCCATTGGCCCCTCTTGTATGCTTGTCTGTATGAGGAAACAGAGTCCAAATCTGAATTGTACAAGCGAGCCGTTTACGCAGATAGACCTGAGTCATCACTTTGCCTCACTGACTGAACTACTGTACAGAGAGAAGAGAGTTATTTTTGTTCTCCTTCTCTCTGTCCTTTTTTTTGGTGCAATGTTTTCAGACAGACTGGGAAAGCAGCTGTTTTTTGTGTGAGTGTGGTTGTGTGTATGCGTGGGTATGTACATATATAGGTGTATGTGGGTGTGTTGCCGCTTGTGTGTGCTCATGGTGACAGGAAGCACCTTTTTCTAACAAGGAGATGTGAAGACAACCTAAGATCTTTTTTTCTAACACGCTCTCACGTGGGAGCCTAATAGAATGTGTGTCAACATGTTATTGAGATAGAGTCAGGCATGGTGGCGTAGATCGAGTAGAGGAACTGTCTTTGGTAAAACACTATTTCTAAATATCAACTACTACACGTTGGATATCATTAATCAGTATGACAGAGGTGCTGAAGTTCTCCTGGTATTACAAAACAAAGAAGGTTTTTTGAATCATGGAAGCCCCCTTTCTGAATCGATACTGACAGATACATCATCTTTATCTCTCTTTCTGTCCCTTCAACTCATTTCTGCCTCTGTCTGTTTCAGTGTCATGCTGATTTGTGCATTTTTATCTGTTGAAGCATCAGTTTTATGTACGACACCCATATTAATGCTAGCTATCGGATATGACTTGATTTTGTTTCATCAACTGGAGTTTGTTCTGCTGTTAATTATTTTTAAGGAGCTCTCATGTGTTCTGACAGTGTGGATGCACTACCATTTAAGGTGCTATTTTCTGTTCTGAAACACTGAATTTGTGAACAGTTTTACACCTGTCAGCTCTACTGACGGTATCCATTCCCTCCACATCTCTAACCTCATTGTCAGCTGTAACAGGAGGGAAGCAGAGGGCGACAACAGCTGTCTGACATCTCATTTTTACACTGTCACACCATTGTATCAAGCATTTTTCAGAGCTGTGAGTTGCATTTTTAGATATTAGAATTTGAGGGATTAAAACGTCGTCTCTCATATTCAAATACAACCGAGACAGGGAAAGGTTAGCTATCGAAAACAGACACTCTTCTTTTAAGCTTGTACACAGCTCCAACAAGAAGGGAGACAAGTTCATGTGTTGGACACGACGTGGTGAGGCATGGCTGTTTCACAAATGTGTGCCTTTTATCAGGGTTTGGCTGCGGGCAGTTTTTAAACTAATGACAGAAGAGGGCAGGGACAGACAGAAATACACAGTTATTTATCAGCAGGCTGTAACGTCACTGTACATTCAGATACACTGTAAAAGAGGGAAATATGGTTTTCTTCAATGGATTACAGATGTTTCAGTGTATTTATTATATTACCTTAGAAGCAGGAAAGAGCGGTCTTTACAAGCTAGTTACCCCGTTAGTGAGAAACACAGAGATGGTAATAATGACTACTGAGTGAAGTCAGGAGGTGCGATGGAGACTCACTGGCAGCTGCAGTCCAGCAGGACCCCACCTGCTCCCATTAGTTTGGCTGGAGGCCGGGCTCTTAATGCCTCTGTTTATGCAACATGGTACTTATATTGATGGGGAGCGGCTGGAGGGCTCAAGGCTGGCTGAACATATATGTGGATGGGAGTTAATGATCTGTTATTGACTACATGATTGTCAAAAATGCCCTCCAAGACCCTTTCTTTGCCTCTACAGGAAAAAAGGTCTATACTGTACGTCATTTAACACTGACATGGGACTATTTAAAGAACAAAAGAAACACATTAAATATAAGACTATATATATAAGAAACATAAAAATGAAAAATAGGAATATACATTCCATGGTAATTTCTGTGAAATTGTTTTGTAGAGAAAAGGTTTTAAGAATGTATTGTACTTTTATTTTGATTTGTTGGGTTTTTGCAAATAAAATTTTATGCTTACGTCCAGATGATTTTTCAGATGTTGTTTTTGTTTGTTTTTGTGGGGTTTTTTTTGTTTTGTTTTTTGCTTTGTTTTTGCTTTGTTGCCTCTTGTGGGATATTTGTGAAAAATATCAGTTACAATACTATTTCCTATCTGACCACACGGTGGTGCTCCACTCATACATACAGTATACATACATACATACATACACACACATACCTGCAGACATACAGTGGTTAAATGGCTCAAACGTGAAAATGAAATGAAGAACATAATATATATTTTGAGCAGTGGCAGGGTTGAGTCACTGTAGGTGAGAAGATTAGTGTGAAGACAAATGAAGAGCATTGCTAGTGTGCAAAATCCCCCTCCTACACTCACTCACACACACTCCCTCTATCTGAGATCACCTCTTTTATGCTTGACCACGCATGAAAAGCTTATTTAAATCACACCAGTTAGGTGACATGATAGGGTATTTTTGTACCAAAAAAGGGTGTATCAAGCTTAATGGGTTTGTACAAATGTTTAAATAATAAACTATATTCAGGTGGATTAAATGTTCACAGTGATTACTTAAAGTACATTTTGCCAAGATTTGAACAGGCCCTGATGCACTTTTATTACCAGCTACAAGTGCAAAGTAACTATGACATCATGATAAAACCCTCTGTAACCCTTGCACTGCTTCACCTCTCTGACTCTGACATCACCACCTAGTTACCCACTCTAAGTTAAATTGATCCAATATCACATTTCTTGTGTTTTATGACCAGTGCAGAGAGAAAAGCAAACATTGTGAAACTAACATTTAGAGCTCCAGCAGAGCTGTAATGTTTTCAGGACCAAATTTAATCATTCACAGGGCTTTTTGTTTTGAGTTGTTGATTCCCCCCACCCCCCACCCCCCCACCCCCGTGTGTGCCCCTTTGCTCTGGGTGGTGGTCTGCCCTGAGTGCTCACGCACGCAGGGAGACCATGAGGTAAACACTGTCCGCACCACCTCTACGTGAGGTCTGGATGAGGCAAGTGCTAACCTCCTGTGAACTCCCCTACGCCCAGTGTGTCTTCTGATCTCATTTAGAGGAGCTTTGACTAACAGTGAAAAACTGAGGAGGTTGACTAGACTGAAAGGTTGACTCCCTACTCAATTCCCTAACTGAGTGATTCATAGACTGTATGAGTAGGTATGAGTAGGTGTGTGTGTGTGTGGGAGTCACTCTTTCCACTGGAAATACATACATGGTATAGCATGTCCTGTAACGTCCAGGTCTGTAAATGCGCATGAAAACCTTCATTACAGCCACATTCACAATGTGTTGCAGTGTCAAAAGCATACATGGTGAGAGTTCTGCTCTAAACTCATTTTGCAATAGTGTTGGACTCTGTCCCATATGGGGGCACACCCTACCTGTCTATGTGATGAGAAGCAGGTAGTCACAGGCCTCTTCAACATGTTTGCTTTATTTTGACCTCAAGCATGTTACAGCGCTTAACCAGGATCAACAAACAGGGCTGCACGTTGCTTCAAAACGGGTTTCGAAAGAGGATTTGTGTAAAGTTTGTTTTGAAAGCAAGAGCTGACACTTTTTTGGCATCACCTCTGCTGAATTGGTGCCGAATGAGCACAAAATAGTGGACTTGGTACAAACCATACAAGCCAGTACACAATGTCTTAGTCGAAAAACTTAAAAAAAAGAAAACTACATGTACTTATTTAAGCTATTACAACACATCTGTCTAAATAAGCTTTTAAAATGCACTTTCAGTGAAATCCCTAAGCCTCGTCAAATCAAAGTAAACCACTCCACCTCTTGCATTATTACCAAGAGCTTTACAGATTCAATTTCTGTTACAGGCTGCAGGTGAGGGATTAGCTAATGTGCAAGGCAGCAAGCCAATTCTCTCTGTCAACATGAGGAGATACCCTAACTCAAGTCTGCTTGGTGTGCAGTTTGGTTACAGTAACCAACCACAAGCATTTCACCCAGACCCATTAATATAATAATTGATTAGAAACACATGGCTTTGTTGGTAAAATGTGTTAATTATAATAATTATAATAAAGAAAGGATGGCAGAGGAGACACCCGTACACCAATGCAACTGGGCTGGACAGAAAAAAGGTTCACAGGCTGAGATCAATCTATTCAGAACATCCGTGCACAATACAAAGGGTGCTCAAAGTGCAAAAAAAGAATAACATGCGAATAAAAACAGCAGCTGACTACCATCAGTGCTGCTGACATGAGAACAGATATAGACACAGACGGATTACAACCAGGTGTGGTGAATCAGTCAGCTGGTGCCACCAATTAGATGAGATCAACTCTAAGGAGCAGAGGCCTGAATGCCAAATCACAGTGACCTGTCCAATGAGTGTTGTACTATTCATAACATGCTCAAACACCTATGTATGATAGCGTAACATTTGCAAATGTACAAAAAACACACAATTATATGCAGAATTAAAACACACACACACACAAGAATTTCCCCAGACCCATTAATATGCTAATTAATTGGAAACACATGGCTTTGTTGGTAAAATGTGTTAATTATATTATACATCATTATGTTTAATTGCAATTAATGGTGAAAGCATAAGAAAAAACACATGTAAAACAGTTGTAGTAACATGAATCTATAATAAGGACTTTGTGTGAATATGTAAAAACAAATTATGTTGCAGATGCAGCCATATGTGGGTCACACGTGTTGAGGGAATTTGTTTGATGCTCATTTGAGGCAAAACAAAGTTTTCTTATTCTCCCAAATTTAGCAAAGATCTGGGGCTGGTTTTGATTGGCTGCCCGCAAAAGCGAGACCTCCTCTGATTGGTCCTCGAGCTGCTTCCGTGTTGTCATTCAGCAGCGGTCCCTCCCCCCCTGCACATCTGTAGCTGAGTGTCTCCTACAGCCTGTTTCTGACCGAGCACCGGGACGGCAGAGAGATGAGGTAGTCTCGGACTTTCCGCGGCTTTTGACGAAAACGAAACCGTTTCGGAGTGTTGAGCGGTAACACAGGATGTGTTTTAACAAATGAACACTAGTCTGGTTGTTCTCAGAGAGCGTGGGGACACTTCGTCGTGTTTTTAAAAGACTGTGGACACCGGAGGAAAGTTTAAATCCCTGCGCTGCCCGGGGGGAAAGGTGAGACGGGCGCGACTTCAATTTCATTAGCTGTCCCGGCACTACAGGGTGGTTTTGATTAAAATTTGGCTGCCTAGTGGAGTTTTATCCGCGGGTACAGTTGTGTTGTTTCGCTGTCCTGCACTGAACTCTGTTTAGCAGCATGTCTGACAAGTGTGCCGCTGTGTAACCAGTTCATCCAGCTCTGCGGGGAGTTTCGACTGCTGCTTGGCTGACTTCAGGTAAACCGTTGACGAGGTTTGCGGCTCGTCCAAAAACACCCCTGCACACACACTTTAACAATAATGGCTGGTTTGAGCAATGTCCACATGAAAACCCTGGAGGACCTGACGCTGGACTCTGGCTACGGGGCGGGGGACTCCTGCAAATCCCTCAGCCTGTCCTCCTCCAAGTCAAACTCCCAGGCCTTCATGACGGCCCCTCACCGGGGCAACTGGTGGTATTACTCCGGCTCCATGAACAGCAGGAACAACAGCTGGGACACGGTCAACACTGTCCTCCCCGAGGACCCGGAGGACATCTTCTCCAAGTGTCCCCGCTTACCTGACTTGGAGGAGTTCCCCTGGGGCGAGGAGGAGGTGGCAAAGATACTTCGCAAAGTGGCCGGGAGTGGGAGCATCAAAGGGGGACCTGCACCTGTGTTCTCCCCGGACGCGGTGAGGCGGCTGTCCGCCCTCCTCCGCAGGGCTCTCATCCGCATCTCCAGAGAGGCTCAGCGGCTCAGCGTCATGCACTGCCGCTGCACACGCTTCGAGGTGCAGAGCGCCATGAGGCTGGTGCTCAGCTGGGCCCTGGCTGACCACTGCGTCTCTGCTACGGTCAAGGCCATCTCCATGTATAGTATGAGCGCAGGGGAGCTGCTGAGGAAGGGTAAGTCCGCCCGCTGCGGCCTGTCTTTCTCCGTGGGACGCTTCTTCCGGTGGATGGTGGATACCCGCATCTCCGTGCGCATCCATGAGTATGCAGCGATATGCCTGACCGCATGCATGGAAGCTTTGGTGGAGGAGATAGGAGTCCGAGTGCTGATGGCCGAGAGGGGTCATCCAGGGCCAGATTCAGGGTCAGCATGCGCCCCAGTGAGTGCCGAGGCCCTGGAGGGGGTGGTGAACAATGACGCGGAGCTGTGGGGAGTCCTGCAGCACTATGAGCACCTGATCTGCGGGAAGAACGCCAGTGGTAAATATATTTAACTCTTTTCCAGTGTTACATCAACATTATGTCCAGTTGCAAACGACAGCTTTCAGTGTATGTTTTCCCATGAGGTGATGGATGTCAACATTCACCCCAAACTTTTTCTTTCTGTCACACACTCTCCTTCCAGAGTGCTGGTCACCACTTTCCACTCCCTCACAGTGTGGAAAAGGTGAAATGTGGCCTGCTGCTGTGTACAATAGCAGCTCTTTGTGCATGAGGCCTTGATGGATTTGTTGTTAATTGGACCTGTCAGAATAGGAAAAAACAGAACAGAGGCATCTGATACGAACAAAGAGAGTATTTTCCTCTCTGACCAAGGCCGTGTGAGGAGAAATGACTGCTGGATTCTGTGTCGGATGGGCAAATTTGATTTTAACTACTTTGCTCTTAGGTAAAAGATTGAGTCTTCACATGTCACTCGTGTTCTGCTGTTGTGATTTGAGGTGCAGAGAGCCTTTAGAGCACAGGCAGGAGGCTTGTCTGTTGACACAGCTCTCTGTTTATGCTGACTTCACCTCTCATCCTCCTGCTGTGTTGGCTGCACTCCTTTCAAAGCCTCCCCTTCTTCCATTTCATCGTCCAGCTCTCCTCCTCTTGGACAAATCCCTCTCACCCACCACCATCTCCACATATCTTACATCTCTCTCCCTCCTCTTTCTTCCAACTCCAGCTGTGCAT